TTGCTTGTTTAATTCTTTATTACTGTTTGTTCTTGCTTGTTTTGTTATATGCTTTTAGATAATCTTGGTTACCAACTCATCTGTTTAGTTAGACTTGGATTAAGAATTGATCCTCATAGTCTTAGTGTCTAGAATCTCTCAATTTGGATTGATACCTCAAGTGCTACAATGACATGAGTAGTTGAGGAATTGATCAAGGATTGAAAAATTCCTACTATCATCCTTGCAGGTTTGAAGACTCTAAAGCCCAGCTTCTTGGCTATGGAGAATGGCATCAAGCTGACTGATGCTCCTAGATCACAAAGACACCCAGAGAATAGAAGAGGTCCAATGGCATAAGGCAGAATGAAACTCCCTGGATCAGTTAACTTTCTTGGAATGGACTTCTTCTGAATGATAGCACTGCATTCATGACTTAGTACCACCATGCCTTGAAGCTCTTTAGTCTTGTTCAGAATGGCATCCTTCAAAAACTTACCCATTTTTGGCATCATTAGGAATGCATCAATGAGAGGCATAGCGAGTGGTGTCTCATTGAGTGCCTTCTCAAATACAGCTCTTGCCTTGTCCACAAGTTGCTTCTTAAATCTCCCTGGAAATGGGAGCTTGGGTTGGTATGGAGGTGGTGGCACATATACCTTTTCTGGTTCAGGTTCCTTTGCTACCTCTTTACCCTTTTTTTGCCTTGGTTTCTCAGCAACTTGATCATCTTTTAAGGCTTCCTCCCCCTCAGTTTGATCATTGTCCTCAATGATCACATTGTTGTTCTCAATACCAGGTAACTACTTTCCACTCCTCAGTGTAATGGCCTTAGCATATTCCTTGGGGTTGGGTTCTGGTTTTCCAGGTAGGTGACCTTGGTTCCTTGAGCTTGAGGCCTGGTTCTGCTTCAATTCCTTAATTTCCTGTTGCATGGCTGCATTCTGGCTTGCAAATATCTGTTGACCCTGAAGTAGTTGTTGCAGAATACCAACCATATCTGACCCCATCTGTGGCTGCTGCTGAACCATTGGTGGTTGAAACTGTTGTTGAACCGGCGCTTGCTGCCGGAACTGTGGTGGACCAAACCCTGGTGGTGCCTTTCGCTGTTGTGAACTGAAACCAGTACCCTGAAATGGTTGCTGTTGCTGACCAAAACCTTTATTCTGAGCAAACTGATTCTTGGGTTGGAAAGACCCTCGAAAGTTGTTCTTGGGAACAAAGTTCTTTGGAGCTTGAGAATTGGGATAGACCTGGTCTTGTGGGTTTGCTACATTTGGGTTCCGGTAAGAGAGGTTCTGATTTGTATTGCCATACTGATATTTCTGGAACCTTTGATTCCCAATGTAGTTAAGCTCCTCCTGGGTGAGACCTTCTTCACTTATGTTCTCAAAGATTTAAGAAGGTTCCTCATACTCTCCTACAAAGTGCATTGGCTTTTGAGTTGTGAATTTCAACTTGTCCAATTCACTCCTCAACTCCTTAACTTCTCTAGTGAGCCTCTGTTCTGAGCTTGAACCTTCAGATCTATTTGATCTTTCATAGTCTTCTCCATAAGTGTCATTGCTCATTGCCAAGTTCTCCACTAGCTCTAAAGCAGCATGAATCTCCTTACTCCGAAAGTTCCCATTGGAAGCAGTATCCAGCTGGTTTCTAATCTTGGGAAGAGCTCCTCTATATAGAGTGCTGAGAAGAGAAGCCTCACTAAACCCATGGTGTGGGCATTGGTCTGTGTAGCTCCTGAATCTCTCATATGCTTCACCAAAACTCTCATTGCTGTGCTGAGTGAAGCTAGAGATTTGGTTTCTCAGTTTTGCAGTTCTGGAGGTGGAGAAGAACTTAGACAGGAAAGCTTGCTTGCATTGCTCCCAGGTTTGAATGGAGCCTCTTGGAAGATTCTTCTACCATTGGTGAGCTTTGTCACCAAGACTGAAGGGAAATAATCTTAGCTTGAAACTGTCTTCAGAAACTCCATTTATCTTTGTCAGGTCACACACTTTATCAAATTGATCCAAGTGTTCAATAAGGATGCCTTCACTTCAAAGTTGTTGTTTTGCACAGGTGGTGCCTGAATTTCAGCTCCATACTGATGAGCATTTGCCTTGTCATTCTCTCCAACATAGACCTGTGGTTGCTCATATCTCCTTTGCTGGTGTTGGAAGGGCTGATGTTGGTGGTGCACATGTTGTCTTTGCTGTGCATTGGCCTGATGCCTCTGCTGATGAGCTGGAGCTTGCCCTGGTGGACATAAGCTTGCTGTTGATGCACCTGTTCCTGATGAACATTATCCTGATGTAACCCTTGACCAACTCCATTACCAGCTCCATTACCTTGAGCCTGTTGCTCCTGAACCGGTTGTTCTATGTCCACCACATGCTCTCTTTGGTCTTCCATATCAGCCTGATCAATCTGTCTTCCACGCCTGTCCCTTCTCCTCCTTGGTACCAAAAGATTAATGTTGTCGTTGAGAGGGAAAGGTGGACCACAGCTTCTTGATCTGGACCTGGTGTTCATGCACCTGAAATCACAAACAGAACTTGAAAGTAATCAGTAAAAACAAAAAATAAGCACTTGATCTCAAGAACAGATCAGAGCTTAATGCTAAACACTCCAAAATTTGGCAACGGCGCCAATTGATAGACAAGACTTTTTAGGGTCTCAGGGCTATCAATCCCCTTGTCAATGTAGCACAAAGAGGTTATCAATCCAAGGATGTGGTGATAGACACTAAGCCCATGTGATCAGTTTCTCAATTCAAGCAAGCAAGTGTGGTTTTGATTTACTAATGACAGCTACAAACTTAAAACAAGATTAATGACAAAAAATGATCAAAAAAAGAACTAAGAAAATGACAAGTGATGAGAATGTATGTATGATGATGAGAAAGGTCTTAGACATGATAGTGGATTAGGGTGCCTTCAGTGATAGACTAATGAGCTAATGAACCATATGATCAAGCAAACCATTCAACTTAGACATCATTAATTAAGTTAATCCTCTCATGAAGGTATCAACTCCTATGCTAAAACAGTTTCTAACCTAATCATTATTAGTGAAACATGAATCAACAAGCATTAAGAATCAGTTTAATCTGTCATTTAAGCATATAGACAACCATTCCCATGATGAATAACACTTGGACCTCTAACAACCTTGGTTCAGACATTTCATCAAACACTTTTGGTGCATGAAATGTCCAGAATCTAGACCACATATGATTTGTATGGATCTAGCATTAAGAACAGGTTGTAGAGAATGGAATATGCATGATCAAACCACTAAGCTCACTAATCTACCACTTAAGCACCCTAATCTACATATCTAAGACCTTAATATGGGATTACTCACTAATCATGATCAACACACTAGATCCTTTGCAAGATCTGTTGTTAATCATGATTAGAAGTGTGATTTGATGATGAGAAATGATGATACAAGATGGAAAACACTCTTAAAATCGATATTAAACTCAAAAGCAAGGTATTAACAAGTGGTCCTTTCACCAAAAAGGAAAAGGAGACTAAAGATAGGATAAGATTCTCTCCAAATTAGGTCTAAAAAGTATTTATAGAAGCCTTGGACGAACCGGGTCAGCCTGGAACAAACCGGGTACTGACCCGGCTTTGGTGGGTAAAGGAGGAGTTTGCCACGGTCTAGCAGGTTTTGGTCAGGCCGTGGACAGTGACCGTGTCAAATACTGTATCTCTTGTTCTTGGGTCAATCATTTGTGCCACGGGTCTCCTCTGCTCGTGATGCATGGCCGCGTGAAACGCCGAAAGATTGCACAAAGTTTCCACGGCCAAGTCCTAAGCCATGGCATGGAGACCGTGCCAAATGCCGAAAGATTGCACAAAGGCCGTGGCATGGAGACCGTGTCAAATGCCGAATGTGAGTAAAATCCTTTCGCGGCCAAATGTTACCTTGCCTTGGTCAAGTGTAGGCCGTGGCATGAAGATCGTGTCAAACCCCGAAGAACTGTAATCAAGTGCCACGGTCAGATGTGGACCGTGGCATTCCACCGTGACATCTTTTCCTTAATAATTTCAAAGCCAAGATAGGGGTTATCAATCTCGCATCGTTCAGGGCTCCTCGGACCACTTCACGTTCAGGGAAGCACAACTTCTAGGGTAGTGGTCCGAATGGCGTGATTCCAGTTGCAGTGGATAGAGGACTCAGACATCTTCAACTTTGGTGAAGGGACCTTCGGTTCTTGGGAAGTGGAAGGTTTCCTGGAGGGCTCATCTTCGTAGTTCATTGACATGATCAGAAAGAGGCTTCTAGACATGTGTCCATTCCGGAAACGTTATCTCCTTTCTCATAGCTCCGAATTGAATGATCTCGGACGTTCGGGAAAGAGGACTCAAATATCTCGGATTCTGATGAAGGCCCCGTAAACTGAATCGGTCTGGAAGTGCACCGTCCTTCGCATTCTTCGGAGCTCATCGGGTCGGTCCAAAACGGCAGCGAGACAGGAGTTTCTTCCGACGAGCTTAACTTTCTGCTCACGCCTCCGAATCCTATGATTCCATTTGCTCTGGAACCATGATCTAATCTTCTCCAACTTTTATGAAGCACTCGACAGCTGAATCAGACCGGAAGGTTCTCCGGACAGGCGATTTCGGAAATGTGTCTGCACCCGGAAATTTCGGCCGAGGAATTCATTAAGCCGGTACGCGTTTTGGCCGAGGAATCCACCCGCGGTACATGAGAATGGCCGAGAAAAACCTTCCTGCGGTACGCGAGAATGGCCGAGAACCTCCAAAACCCGTTTTCACCATCTTTCAAGCCTTGATCACCATTTCTCTTCCTGGATTCATCCTTTCAACTCCAAATAGCTCCAAATATACCAGATAAACACTCAAAACATGCAAAGACTCATTGGGACCTAATTCATCTTCTAAGTCCTAAAACAAACCCTATGGACCTAAAATGCATGGAATAAGATATGATTTGGAATGAAATATACAACCTAAATGATGCAAATTATGAACATATCATCCGCAGACCAAACAAACATGTTACTACATAGTTGTCCTAGTTGTCTACATACCAAACACACAATAATTTACAAGATTAACAAGGATGGGAGTCTAGAACATACCTCTTGCATTCCTACTTCCTCCTCTAGCATTTCTCCTTCCTCTTCGTTTACATTGGCTGGCGCTTCATCCTTCTCCTCTTCCTCTTGGTTCTCTTGCGCTTCCTCTTCCTCTTGCACAGGCGGAGTACCATCTTCCTCAGGCTCAGTACCATCTTCCTCTTCAACTCCTAGCGCCTCTTGCTCTTGGTTCTCTTGCGCTTCCTCTTCCTCTTGCGCAGGCGCAGTACTATCTTCCTCAGTCGCAGTACCATCTTCCTCTTCAACTCCTAGCGCCTCTTCCTCTTGGTTGGCGCAGTACTATCTTCCTCAGTCGCAGTACCATCTTCCTCTTCAACTCCTAGCGCCTCTTCCTCTTGGGTTGCTTCCTCTTGGTTCTCTTCCTCTTCCTCTTGGTTCTCTTCCTTTTCCTCTTGGTTCTCTTCCACTTCCTCTTCATTTTCCTTTTTTTTTTCCTTCTCCTCTGCTTCATCTTCTCCTGCTAATTGCCAGTCACCATCGTTTGCTGTTGGTGTGGCCGTGCTCACTTCCGCGTTCTCAATTTCAGGACGGTTCTCGATTTGTGGGTCTACGATTTCCTCTGCCCTTCCTTCCGTCGGAGTTTCAGGTTTCTCGATTTGGGGTTCCTCGATTTCCGTCGGGTTTACTTCCGCCGGATTGTTAAGGTTCCCGTTTTCTGGGTCTTCAATTTCAGCCGGGTTTCCTTCCGCCCGAGTTTCAGGTTTATCTTTTTTGTTTCCCTCCGGGTTTTGGACTTCCGCCGCTGAAGAAGAAGACTCATACTCCTGGCTGTTTTTTCTCACCTTCACCATAAATCGGAGATTCGGGATTCTCGCAAGTAGGGCCTCTCGGATTCGCGATATTCGCCAGAAAAAATGATTTTACGGAGTTTAGAAAGCAAGATTAGGGCTTAAATGGTTTTGAGGGAAGTTGCGAAAGTGAAGGAGTTCGAATCGAAAGGAGCAAACCGATTCTAAGGAGTGGGAAGAAGAAAGTTTCGAATAAAAGGAAGAAAAGGGAGAGAAAATAAAAAGAAAAAACGGTTTTTATAAATATTTAATTCAAATAAAAAAATCAATTCGAATGGATCGGGTTAGCGGGTTAACCGATAACCAGATGGGTTTGACCCTGGTTTTGATGTAAATAAATCAAACTTTCAGGGAGAGGGTAGGATTTTATAGGGTTTTGGATTTAAACAAAAATCAAAATTAAATTAATTATTAGACTTATGGCATTTTAGCCTTTTTTTACATTATGGCATATCAGCCCTTCGCTCGTTTGAAATACATATCGTAGTAGAGAGCCTTCTATATCCGAACCTGTGCTGAGATGATGGAGGGAGTCGAGTCCCAAGCGGAAGTGGAAGTGGAGTTCATGCATAGAACTCCAGAATTTGCTTTCATCACATGGCTTGCAATCCATAATAGATTGACAATGGGTGGTAGAATGAGATCATGGAACCCAGGCATTACAGTGGAGTGTGTGCTATGTGCGACTCATCTTGAAATAAAAAATCACCTATTTTTCTCATGTCCAGATTCTCATAAAATCATGAAGAAATTGTACTTTATGTGCGACTCCTTTAGACCAGTTTACTTTATGTTGCTTTACTCAAATCTCGTTCTTAAACCGCTAGAGCAACAGTTGATTAACAGGGTTTGTAATATTTCTATATTCTTCACCCGATCTTCTTTCCCTTATTTTTTGAATTTCATTCTCGATTTGGATCAGTAACTCACCCTGGCGTCGTCTTGTTTAAAGTGAGTTCAAAACTGAGGAAACTAAAGCATAAGCTAGAATCCCCAAATCTATTATCCATATTTCTCTAGTAAGATCGATCAAACGTCCTAATGTAGTCCAATTATTATACCACAACACAGTATTGGTTCCTCGTGCTTTCGACTTTTTAGAATCCTTTCGCTACTCTCTATACTTCAGCAACATGCGTGATATGTTCATAATTTGCATCATTTAGGTTTTATATTTCATTCCAAATCATATCTTATTTCATGCATTTTAGGTCTTTAGGTGTTGTTTTAGGACTTAGGGGTTTGCATTAGGTCGAAGTGAGTCTTGCATGTTTTGGAGTGTTTACAGGTGGTTTGGAAGCAGTTTAGACCCAAAAGATGAAGCCAGGAGGAGAAATGGTGAATGGGGGTTTAAAACTGGTGAAATCAGCCTTTTGGAGATTCTCGGCGCTAGCCTGTACTGCAGGAAGCTTTTTCTCGGCTATTTTCATGTACCGCAGGTGGATTTCTCGGCCAAAACGCGTACCGGCTGTTCAAGTTTCTCGGCCAAGATTCCCGGGTGCAGATACATCTCCGAAATCGCGTTACCGGAAGGTCTTGCCGGGGATTCAGCCTAGGGGTCTTCAGCAAAGATCCAGATAATGGAGCCTAAATCTCATAACAGTTGGAATCGATGAGTTTGGAGCACCGAGTTGAAAGATACAGCCACCGGAAGACAGACCTCTCTCGCATCCGTTCCGGAGCAATCCCATACGTCTGGAAAGATTGCCTGTTCGGGAAGTCTTAACGTCCAATTCAGATTACAGGGTCGTCAGAAACGTTGGAGCTGAGAAGGTCAAGAATCCAGAACAGGTAGAATAATTGCATTTAGGGGTCGTGAGCAGAGAGTTAAGCTCACCGGAAGGCGCACCTGTCTCAGTACAGTTTCAAGACCGATCCGATGAGTCACAAAGATTACGTAAGACAATGCCTTTACAGTCTGATTCAGTTGCCGGTGTTTTGATCAAGATTCGAGATCTTTGAGTGTTCTTTCCAGAACATCTGAGTTCATCCAGTTTGGTTCTATGTGCTGAAAGATATCATCTCCGGAGTAAACACTGGTCCAAGAGCTTCCTTTTGATCGTTTCAATGCACTACAGAGATGAGCCGTCCCGGGAACCTTCCACTTCCCAAGAACTGAAGGTTTCTTCAACAAAGTTCAAGTTATCTGAGTTCTCTTTTCACGGCAGCTAGAATCAAGCCAATTGGATCTATATCCTGGCGGTTACGCTCCCTCGAATGCAAAGTGGTCCGCGGAGATTTGAAGTCTGCGAGATGCTTTTGCGACTTGGATAACTCGCAGCGCTTAAAGGATAATTTCTGGGAATTGAGCTGCGTGTGGAGATGTGCGGGTAAGGTAACCCTGGGTGAGGTCAAAGGCTCCCGAGCAGGAAAAATGCTATGTCCACAAATGTACGACTTGAGCATGCGAGTTGGCGGAGTAGTGAACTGAACCGCAGGAACACTTGCTGTTTACACCGAGTTGGGCATGCGACTTGGGAGTGAAGTAGACCAACTGATAACTAAGAGTTTTCAGGATCTTAGAAGGGTTATCAATCCCCTTGTCAAAGTAGTATAAGGGGTGTCAAACCAAGCTTGTAAACGAGACACTAGCCTATGTCATTTGTTCACTTAAGTCAAGACAAGATGATAAAAGTTTGGTGACGGTGATTAACAGGCAAATGAGCAATAAAGTTAAATAAAAGCAGAGATTTAAACTAATCAAGATGCAAATAACAAACAGGTGATTCAGATGATGGTAATGAATGATAAAGGCAGAAGCTTTAGACAGGATATTTGACTCGGGTGCTTCCAAGTTAGACTAAGGGGCTAATGAATCATTTTATCAAGCGATTTCATTTGACTTTGAACTCAAGGCACGTTAATCTTCTCATGAAAGTATTAAACGTCTAAACTGATCCTCTTTCAAACCAAAATCCCTTTTGAGAAGCACGAATCAGTCAGCAATAAGAATCCGTTCAAAAACGTCATTTAAGAGAACAAACTATCACTCTCGCGATGAAAGACTCTTAAACCCTTAACCGAGTGGTTCAGACATTTCTACAAACACTTCTGATGCGAGATATGTCTCAGATCTGAACCTCAAGTGATGTGCTTGGATCCAGCTTAGAGATCTCGTCGGTTAAGGAATGAAACATGCAAGACTAGACACCTAAACCCATTAATCCACCTTGAAAGCACCCTAATCTACCTATCTAAAGCCGCTTAAACGACTACTCACTGATCATAACGAGCTCACTAAGTCCTTTGCAAGACGTGTAGCTAGTCATGATAAGGAGTTTGATGTTGGACGATAAAAGAAATAAAGAAAGAACAAGATTCTGATGCAAAAACGAGATTTCGGATTAGATTAATCAAGTTTCACAAAAGAGGCAAGTTCTTAGAGCTAAAAACAGATAAGACATAAGATAACTAGGTTTTTAGTCTCAAAATGTATTTATAGCAAAGGGAAAGTGTCGCGGGTCAGCCCGGAACAAACCGGGTACTGAACCGCCTTCTTGGGTTGATGGGTGAGTGCCACGGTGTGTCGGAAAGTGAAGCCGAGGTCTTCATGCCGAGGCGTGCACGTGAGTCAGGATCCAGATGAAGATCTCGTGAAGAACACGTCAAGAACATGCATGAACCCTAGTCTTTGATCTATCCTCACGTGTATGTTCTTGAGCCATTCTGTTCTTGATTCTGGGTTCGTGACAAGGGACCTCGGGATAAAATGTCGAGGGGTCATGATGTCGAGGTGCTTGGGAGAACACAGTCCGGCATGCACGCCGAGGTCATTACACCGAGGTGTACTTTCAACACTTAGTCGTTTCCAGCTTCAGTTCTTACGTATGCATGCCTCGATCTAACCATGCCAAGGCTTTGGCACGAGGTCTAGTCCAGAATACTTCCAAGATATGAGCCTCGACTTGAGTGACGCCAAGGTAAAGATACCGAGGCTTGTGAGAATACTTAGCGCGTATCGCAACTCTTTTAGGCTTGTATCGACCATGTCACCTTCCGGAAGCAGTAACTTTCAGCACACGACTCCAATTGCTATGGGACCAGTTCCACAGTCAAGATGACTCAATAAGCTCGAACTTTGGTGAAGAAACCATCGGAACTTGGGGAGTGGAAGGCTTCCTGGATTTAACATCTTTGCGCTGCATTGAAATCACCGGAAAATAGACTTTTAGACCGATGTGAACTCCGGAGACCCTATCTTCCAAACCATTGCTCCGAATTGAGCGATTCCAAATGCTCTGAGAAGATCTTCCATGGTTCTGTCTGGAGGGGCTCCGTCCGCCATGATCTTTGAAGTTCGCCGTTCAGTTCTCGGGTACGCGCAATGCTGGTGAATGCTCCGGAAGCCATATCTTTCTCTCCACTGGTCCGAATTGGATGATTCCAACTGTTCTGGAATCTTTGCTTGATTATCTCCAACTTTGGTGAAGACCCCGCCAACTGATTCGAACCGGAAGGTTCCCCGGATTGCTGATCTCTGAATTGCGCGGGCAAGGACAACTTTTGGTCGTAAAAACCTTCCCGCGGTAAGAAAAATGGCCGAGGGCTGTGTACCGCGGTAAGCTTTTTGGTCGTAAAAATTCTTGCCTCGGTCAAAAACTTGTCCCGTGGTATTTTTGCACTCGATACTCGATTCTGGCCGATCGGTAAGGTTTTTGGCCGGTAATGAGCATCTGGTAAACATATTGGCCGAGGTTTCCGACCAGCCGGTACGAGATTTGGCCGAGAAATTCCTCCAAGCGGTTTTCACCATTTTTGACCCTTTTCTTCACCGTTTTCTTTTCTGTTCCTCTTCTTAGGCTCCAATTGGTCTCCAAAGCTCCTGATAAAGACTTCAAAACATGCAAAACTCTTTGGGACCTAATGCAAGCCCTAAGTCCTATTTTAACACCTAAAGACTCAATTTACATGAGAAAACACATGATGAGGACTCTATAATGCAATCTAAATGATGTAAAATATAGACATATCAACTCCCCCACACTTGTCCTTTGCTTGTCCTC